AGTTCAATAATTATAATTTTGATTTTGTATGTACAAAATTTCTTCAATCCTTCTCTCTCATTTCTGTGACTCCCCAGAATTGAACCCAAATTCACTATCAGTATAGCCCTGCCCACCACCACCCAAAACCTCCATTACCAACACCTAAACCAATTTGCACCAAACAAATCACAACCAACAAAACACAGAGACACTGCAACCCTAAAAAAAAAAAAATTCAGTAATAGATAGCTGCCGTCGCCGACTTCCAAGTGCAAACACCACCACCTCAACCCAAAACCTCCATCACCACCACCCATCACCGCCTACTGCAAAACTCAAATCATTGACACCCTAACCACCACTACAACCTAATCACAGAGAACCCAAGTCCCAATCCAAGGAACAAAAACCAAGCCCACCACCAGAATTATATAGTCACAACATCTCTGTCCTCGAAATTATTGGTTGTTGTCGACGGAATTGTGAATCCTTCATCGCCGGAATCTGTATAACCGTGGTCATCGGAGCCTAAAATCACCATCTTCATAAATTAAACCAATGAAGAATAGGTCTTTGTGTTGATTTTAAACAGAGAGAAAAGATGGGTGGGTGATGGGGTAGAGAGAGATAAAAGGAGGGGTGAAAATTGATGGTTTGTGGCTGTGGTTGCAGTCGGCTAGGGCTTGAGGATGAGGAGCAGAAGAGGGAAGTGATGGGTAGTGTGGAGCCTGATAGATACTGTACACCAAGCCCCAACTCCGTGAATTTTTTGGAGGGTATTTTGGTTATTTCCGCACTTGTTATGTTGCCCTAGTGCGAGGGTATTTATTCATTCTGAACTCTCTGTATCTGCGTCTATTTTTTATTATCATAGTGAAATCTCTGCAATCCTTGGACGTAGCCCTAGATTTTGGGTGAACCAAGTAAAATCTGTGTGTTCTTGTTGTGTGTGTGTTTGATCTATTTCTTGTGTTTTCTGTTTGATTTCACAATAGGAAAGAGTAGAAGAGGGGTTTTGATGGGCTAGTTGCAGTCGGCTAGGGCTTGAGGATGAGGAGCAAAAGAGGGAAGGATCAGAAGAGGGGTTTTGATGGGCTGTGACGAGGTTTTTTTTTTTTTTTGATAAATGATGCTATAGTAGAGAAAGTAATTTCAGTGAACAGTGTAGAAAATAGAGAAAGTGAGGATTTCTCACTTTCTCTTCTCTTCACAAAACTAAAAAGTACTTTCTTAAAATTAAAAAGTAAAAGTATTTTATTAAACATGATTTTACTTTTGATTCTCAATTTTAGGAATTGACAGTAGAAATCAGGAATTATTCCTGTTACTAACGCTTTCACTTTCTTATTTTTACTTTCTCCCAAAGTAAAATCATGTTTTTCATTTCTGAAGCTGAAATATAATGTAGAATTATGTTTACTAATTTTTTATGCTTTCAATATTTTCAAAGTAAGAAATTAAAAAGCAAGTTTAATAATTATAATTTTGATTTTGTTTTCTAAATTGACAATCAATGTTATATACTCTATATATATATATATATATATATATATATATATATATATATATATATATATATATATAGGTAAGAGGCAGAGCTCTTCCATTCATTGAATTGGTGGAATCGCATTACCAAAACTCTAAATTGAGCTTAGTCAAGAATTCGTTTTTGTTAAGACACCTGTCTTCATGAGACCTTTTCATTTCCAGTTGAAATTTGCTACTTTTAGAGAGTGTGTGTGTGTGTGTATGTATATATATATCTCATTACTATGACGTTTTTTCGTGGCATTTCAATTACCAATCATGAAGAATACGACAGATGATCCTGATTCGGTTGATCAGAATCCGGAAAACTAAGCTCCGGCACCAGATCGATAGCAGTAGAGCTTGCCAGAGATGTGAAGGGAGGTGACGAAACCGATGAAGTAGAGGCTCATGTCGAGGACGACAGTGGGCGAGATCTTGAGTCTGCCATGGAGGTGCCATGTCGACGGGGCCGGGTCTGGTGGTCGACGAGGATGATGATTGGGATTGAGATGAGCCTCACCATTGTTGCAATGCGAAGAATTCGAGAAACGAAGAGGAAGAGTGAGACATTTTTTTAAAACAATAATGTTATAGTACAAAAAGTGTTGTTGCGAAAATCCTCGTGACTCGGAACGACGACGTTTACCTGCAAAACAAAGGGACGTCACCTCGAATGGCACCGATGCGGTGCCAGCCGAGGACCCTCCGACGATCAAGTTAGTACTTATAATCATATCACATAATAATTATGTAATATTCTGTTTAGGGGTTTTTTCTTGTACCTTCTTTAGCGGCTCGATGCCCTATTTATGGTTGTCGATTGGAATCAAATTGGTCCCGCAGGAGATCCGCTTGTGCGAGATCAGAATAGATTGTTTGTTGCCAAATTTGTCGGGGATATGATTTACTCCTTGGACTTTCTCAAATTGTGCCCAGATTATCCTTGCCCTGTTGAACCACGTCGTCATTCATTATCCTGGATAAGAAATGTCATCATTTTTATCCGATGAAAATCTTTATCTCTGATAACAAAATATGTCGAAGAGGTCTGGCGGCTGGTCAAGGTAGGTTAGGTTTGTTTTTCCCTATCAGTTACTCCCCATTCCCAAGTTTGCTCGTTTAGCTTTGGGAATGTAAATTTTATTTTATTTTATTTATTTATTTTATTTATTTATTTTTTTTTTTTTTTGCGGTACTATTTTTAGTACCCTTGGGTACTTTTCCCCTGGGTACTATTTTTGGTACCATTGGGTAATATTTTTAGTACCCTTGGGTACTCTGCCCCTGGTTATTTTCTTGGTACCTTTGGGTATTCTTCCCCTGGGTACTATTTTTGATACCCTTAGGTACTCTATCCCTAGGTACTATTTCTGGTACCCTTGGGTACTCTGTCTCTAGGCTGGGTATTATTTTTAGTACCCTTGGGTACTCTTCCCCTGGGTACTATTTTTGGTACCCTTGGGTACTCTGCCCCTGGGTACTATTTTTAGTACCCTTGGGTACTCTGCCCCTGGGTACTATTTTTGGTACCCTTGGGTAATTTTACCCCTGGGTTGGGTACTATTTTTAGTACCTTTGAGTACTCTGTCCCTAGGTACTATTTTTGGTACTCTTGAGTACTCTTCCCTTGGTAAGGGAATAAATTGTACGATTTTCACTCAAATCGTCACTCCTTTAATAAGGGAATTAAATTTTACGAGCTTTACTCAGCTCGTCCTTTTAGTAAGGAATTTTTATTTACTATACATCATAATGGGATATTGGTTACGGGATTCATTCAGCCCTGGCCCTTGTAGTACAGGACATTTATTTACTATCCCTTATAGTACGAGGATATTAATTATGGGATTCATTTAGCCCAGGTCCTTGTAGTATTGGACATTTATTTACTATCCCTTATAGTAAGGGGATATTAATTACGGGATTCATTCAGCCCGGGTCCTTGTAGTACAGGACATTTATTTGTTATCCCTTATAGTACGGGGATATTAATTACGGGATTCATTCAGCCCAGGTCCTTATAGTACAGGACATTTATTTACTATTCCTTATAATACGGGAATATTAATTACGGGATTCATTCAGCCCGGGTCCTTGTAGTACAGTACATTTATTTCTCATCCCTTACAGTAGGGGGATATTGATTACGGGATTCATTCAGTCCAGGTCCTTTTAGTACAAGACATTTCTTTACTATCCCTTATAGTATGGTGATATTAATTACAGGATTCATTCAGCCCGAGTCCTTGTACACTACAAGAAAAAAGGGCTTCTATGAGGGGCCAAAAACGCCGTAGAAATGTATTCACGGTGCATTCTAGGCCCTCGTATATGAGGGTTCCGTAAATACTCAATTTTTTTTACGGCGAAATATAACTGCCGTAGAAACGTTTTCTACGGCGAATTGTAACTACCGTAGAAAACTTTTTTACGGCAAAATATAACTGCCGTAGAAAACTTTTCTACGGGGAAATATAACTGTCGTAGAAACGTTTTCTACGGTGAATTGTAACTGCCGTAGAAATGTTTTCCACTACGAATTGTAACTGCCGTAGAAAACTTTTCCACGGCAAAATATAACTGCAGTAGAAATGTTTTTTACGGCGAATTGTAACTACCCTTAAATAATATTTACGGGGGTTTCAAGCTCCCCGTAGATAACATAATTTTTTTTAAAAAAAAGTTTTCTACGGCGAATTGTAACTACCCGTAAATAATATTTACGGGGGTTTCAAGCTCCCCGTAGATAACATAATTTTTTTTTAAAAAAAATTATAAAATATTATCCTTAAATGCTACCTAATCATTCACACAACCTGCAATGGGTATCAATTAAATATATATATATATATATATATAAAACATTACCCTTAAATGCTACCTAATCATTCACACAACCTGCAATTGGCATCAATTTTGAAATACCACATTAAACATATCAAAAGACTTAAAATATTTTTTACAATTCAAGAATTCATGATTGATCAATGTGCCAAAATAGGAAGTTAATTCATTTGCAAAAAAAAAAAAAATAAATAATCAATTTCCTAACAATTAAGTTTCAATCTACACTTTTCAAAAACACCACCTCATTTTCCACAGTACAAAATCCAAGCAAGTAGGTGCTCCCATTGATTCAGCAGCCAAAACTCGAATAGCAGGGTTGATAAACTTGGCAGCCAATGTAACCCCAGATATCAATCCTCCACCTAAATTTTTTTTACCAAAAAAAAATGAAAAGCTCATCAAATTAGTAATAAAGATGATGTAGGAATAGAAAAGATGAATTAATACTTAGAAGTCATTAAACAAACCACATAGGAACTATTATAGTGTTTATTTGCGGCGCTTGCTCCAAATACTCCAATGATATGGTACCCTAAACTAAACCCTTAATTAATTAATATATATATATACTACTATATATATATATATATATATATATATATATATATATGTTTCCCAACCAAATTTTGTTTCACCCACTTACCAGAACCATCTCTTGCTGGGCTGAAACACACGAGCAGGAACTCATTCGTATCACACCGAAACGTTGACTTCTCAAAGTGATCCACCAGTGCCTCCTTCCCCTGCCAATTAACCATTTTAATTAATCATATCAAACCCAAAACTTATTACTATATATTGTGTGTGTACATATATATACGTTGATATATGCACACGCTCTCACTTCAAAATCATTTTTATTTATCCACTAGGGTACTTGCCTCTTAATAAAATGAATTTATAGCCCTCTTTTTATTTTGTTATATATATATCTCACTTCCCTAATCTGTCTTTTAAAATTGATTTTTATTAAGAGGAATCATTGTAGTTATTAGACCATTTTTTAACTCGTTATAATGTAAACTTCATCTGAAACCAAGCAAGCACGCCAAAGTTTATTTATTTCCCTTTTTTCTACAACAGCTAGCACTTTTTTCTGAATAAAAATAGAAATTACAAGAGCTGCATAAAGATCTGTGACTTTTCCAAATTCTTTAACAGGAATTATCCCAAGGACACAACTTAAGTATACCCTTTATTTTAACCAAATAGTGCACCATCCTAAGAACACAAAAGACTACATAAACAAGAACACATACAGCAGTATCTAATTTGCATCTTGAGGTGAAGCAATCCTCCTAATTCACCCCAAACCTTTTTTTTAGTTCCAAGACGAAGTCATAAACCTTGTTGGGGTCACAAAGAGAACTGGACACACTAATTAATGAACGAGTAGGTCTTTGAGAATTCCCTTAAAGGGAGCCCCTTCTCTGTAGTCTCTTTATAGGTCTGTGTAAGAATAATGAACTAGTAGGTCTTTGAGAATTCCCTCTTTCTTTGAAATTAATATCATTATTCGTTGCTATGGCTCTCTACATGACAAAAGTATTTTGGAATCTCTTTTTTCCTTTTAATGAATAGCTGGGATGATGCTAGCATAAATTCCTTGTATCTTATGTGGTCTTATCACATGAACCTATGCAAAGTATCCAATTAGGAAAGAGTCAATGCATAAAGATGTTTATCTTCTTAAAAAATCTTGATCGCGGAAAATAAATTTAAAACCTATATATTTTTATGTTGCAAGAAAATGTGTTATTCATCTTACCAAACCTAGCCATATTTTAAGTTGTTTAATGCATTATTCAATTACAAGTTTTCCTTTTCCAAAAGTGATAAACATGATATTCTGGTTTACTAACTTCATATAAGAAAGCCAAACTGCATTTCTTTAGCATAAGTGACAAGAAAAGCAAGCAAAGGTGGTGGTGGTGGTGGTGGTGGTTGTGAATATATAGAGAGATTTTGGCTTTATAGCATGATTAAATTGAATTTTATCTCAGTCTATATGCTGTTTTATTTGATGATTCAACAAATTAAAATGCGATCAATGAAAACCATACTCCATCCACAACAATTTCCCGACCTCCATTTATGCAAAATAATTAAAAAATATATAAACAATGAAGAAGTCCATGATGCAAGTAATGCAGTATCACATTTCTATGCAATGGACTGAATTTTCAGAAAATCCAAGATTAGGTAATTTGGGATGCAACACAGCCTTAGGGAATGAGCCCTGAGAAATCTAAGGTGAAATTCCTGAAATTATTCTTTGTCGTCTTCTTATTTTAGTTTATTTGTTATGTTTTTTAAAGTTATAAGAAAGCTACTTTGGTAGGCCAGTCCTTCCTTTCATCAAGACTTCACCCAAACAACCAAAAGCCACAAAAAACAACCAAGTTATCATTCATAGTTGCTGTAAAAGAATACTTGTGGCTGTCAGCAATCTCAGAAGATAACATGAAAGATATCAAATCTATTATTCATAGGCACACAGCAAGACGAAAGATTTGTAACTTGAAGGTGGATTGCAAAGCGAGAGAGAGAGAAAGAGGCGAAGAATAAAGAAAAAAGAAAAGGGAAACAAACACAAATACCTTAAGATGAACAACTTCACCATCCTAAATTACCAAAACCTTTTTTGTGTGTTCAACTACAGCATTAGCATCGCTGGATAAGAAGAATTCTCTGGGTTGCCCATTCTTTGAAAGGAATTTGTCATTATGAAATGATGCTTCATTGTTCACATCATCTGTTAATTCCTGAACCGACGACAACTCAATAAAGAAAAGAGCACAATCTTGTGTTCATCAAGAGCAGCGCAATTATTAATACTCCACTCATGCTTACACAAAAGAATTCAATGACAGCACAGAACAGTAGTTAAGAAAGATCATGTGCAATATTTAAATAATAATAGCTGAATCAGAATGAATACAAAAGTTCCAATATGTGCATGGAGTAGAAAACTTCAACTAAATGATGCCTAAGCTGGTAGCATATCCTTTTTCACCTTGCAATGAACCAAAATAAGCCACATGCAATGCAATACTACATCGTGGTGTTGATTTTTCAAGAAGCTGTGGGGTTGTGAATTGTGATGGTGACAATCTATGAAATATGGATACAGATACAACAAATTCTTAAATTATAGATACAGATATGCAAGGACAGGACAATATATATATATATATATATATATATATATATATATATATATAAACGTAGATATGTATAAAAATCAATATTTATGCATCTATGAAAATTTTTAAATAATATTTGTTTATGTTATATGTATTGTTATTAGCATATCTTTTTTTTTTTTTTTTTTCACAAGTATTGTTGTTAACATTTATTTATAAAATATTATAATTAACAAACAAAACAAGAGTTGAGAGTTATATTGTATGGATAAATTAAGTTCTATTTTCGAATAAATGTTAAACTTTTCTTAACAATTATACTATGATATTATTCTTTGAAAAGTTACATTCTAATTCTCAAAACTTGCTAAATATGTATCTGAGAAGTATCGGTACGTGGTTGAAATTTTAAAATATATTTCAAAATTATAATACGTATAGGAATCGAACACTCATCCATGAGTATCTGAGAAATATTGGTGTCCGACACAACATGGGTACGTCACTCTTGTAGAAGCATAGGTGCTTCCTAGGTGGCAGTTGGTGGTGCACCAGCTACTGGCTTCAAAATAAAAATTTCCTAAAATTCCATATAAAAATTGAATAAACGACCATAAAAAATGCTATGCAAATTAAAAACTTTCCATCAACTTTTAGGATCAAGAGAGAAGGGGAACAGATGAAAAAGAAGAATTAAAAGCAAGTAGAAAAAAGCTTCTGACAAAGATGCAATTTGGCATAAATAAAATTTGCAAGTGTACTCACAGAGATGAATTTATATCAAAATCATCTCACAGTTTTTATGAATTCAAGTACAGTCCAGAATTTTTGATACAACACAAGGCCATATATATATAATCTGAAATTTAAAGGCCCAAGAAGTTGCAATTCAATTCAATTCAACTTAGAATTTTCAATTCAATTCATCGTCAACCTCAATTTCAAAAATCAGGGACAAGCCCTTCACAGAATTTTTTTTTTAGTCCATTCTCCATTACCATAGCCCTTCCTCCTTTTTCACATCACAGACTTATACATTCACAGCCCTAATAAACATAACCACAGATATATGTAGGAAATTCTAAATTCCCATTCCAAAATCAAAGTCCAAAAGTCAAATTTCAGGTTGAAGAGAGCTTACCCGAGAGAAAAATGAGAAAAACGAGAGAGAGAGACTCGGCTTGAAATTTTTGGCTGGAGAAGACGACCGGAACTGGAAATGTGGTGGCCGGTGGCGAGATGTGGTTTCTCCTTGACCGAGAATCGGCCAGAGAAAGCGAGACCGAGAAGAGAGGAGAGTGCAGCAGCGGCGGCTAAGAGGTTCGGCTGGAGAAGCTTGCGGCAGTGGGGTTCGAACAGAGAGCGAGGGCTTGGTGATGGTGTGAGGATGTGGGTTGATGGTGGTGGTGCCTCGGCGTGAGACACAGAGAGATAGAGATAGAGATAAAGAGAGAGGCTAGGGTTTTTTCAGAAAGAGAAGTGACTTTATTGCACCAGTGGGAATAAGACCCGCCAAATGATAAGTGACAATTTCACGGCCCGCCAAATGATAAGTGAAAATATTTCACTTTTTACCATGATTTCAGTTACATTTTTCATTAATAGTGGTAAAAAACTTTTCTATCACAGTTTAAAATAATAGTATATTTTTTATTATGATTATTTTAAAACCGTGTCAAAGATTATTTTAAAACCGTGGCAAAAAAATACATGGTAAAAAACTATTTTTCTTGTACTGAATAAATATTTTTTTATATTAATAATTTTTGTCTAATTAGATTACCTTTTGTTAAAAAAAACTCAAAATAAAAGATAGTTTGTGGTTCAGTTTTAGAAAAATTATTTCATTTTTTATATTAATTAATAAATTATTTTTATATTAATAATTCTTGTCTAATTAGATTTCTTAATTAAAAACTCATAATAAATAAATAAACAGATAATTTGTGTTAAAATTTTATATAGAAACTCTTTTTAAATCAATTAATAAATATTTTTTATATTAATAATTCTTGTCTAATTAAATTTACTTTTATTAAAAAAACTTATAATAAATAGACAAATAGGTAAATTGTGTAAAAGTTTTATAGAAATTTTTTTAAAATTTATTTTTTATATCAATTAATAAATATTTTTTTGTATTAATAATACTCGTATAATTTGATTTTCTTTAATATATGCAAAGAGTTTCGGTATTTATTTATATAAAAAAATATTTATTAATTGATATGAAAAGAGTTTTTTTAAAAAAAAAAAAAAACTCTACAAAATACTAAAATCTACATAATAAAATTTAAATTAATATATTTATCTATTTATTATTATGATTTTTTTAATAAAATAAAATCTAATTATAGAAGAATTATTAATTTTAAAAAATATTTATTAATTGATATATAAAATAAAATAATTTTCCTAAAACTCTACCACAAATTAGCTCTTACTATGAGTTTCGTATAAAAAAAATATTTATTAATTGATATAAAAAGATTTTTTTTCTATATTATTATTAGATGTGCAAAGAGTTTCAGTATTTAAGTATTTATTTATTTATATAAAATTTATTTAAAACACTAAAATTTACATAATAAAATTTAAATTAACCTATTTTTCTATTTATTATTATGAATTTTTTAATAAAAAAATCTACTTAGACAAGAATTATTAATATAAAAAATATTTATTAATTGATATATAAAATAAAATAATTTTTCTAAAACTCTACCACAAATTAACTTTTATTATGTGAATAGATTACTCTTACCAGACTTTTGCTTCTCTCTACTAGGATTTATTCTCTTAATATCATCATAACTAAATGGCTGGAGCAAAGGAATGAGCAAATTTGAACAGAAGTTCTCCTATTAATTATGAGTGAATCATTTGAACAAATTGAACAAATTTGTAAGACGCATTCTAAATGGCCAGGGAACAAGTAGAAGGGAAAAGGAATGAAACACAACAACATCAATAAATAAGGCGGTTCTACAACTACTAGTGTCATAAATTTACTAATTTAACGAAATTTATCATAACCTCAGTTTGTTGTCATTTTTATTCTTAGATGCATAAAAATACAACAACATCAATAAATAAGGTAGTTCTGCAACTACTAGTGTCATAAATTTCAAAGCATGAAAAGTCCTACAAGGCTAATCATGTTTCTTTTGACCAACTCATATTCAAGAAATTAAATACATCTCCCCAAAACCCCATTAAAAAAAGATATAGAAAAAGAATAAAAAAATAATACCACTTTATTGTTTTAGATCAATTGATGAAGAGAATGATTTACAATGTTAGGTTTATTATTTTTTTTACATAAAATGATGTAGTTTAATACACTTTATAGTTTTTGCAAAATAAAATAATCATGGGCAAAAAATTTTTAGGCGCAAAATTTTTCCGCTGTCCATTTTTTTAGGTATTGGGGATGTGGTGGGGGCGTACTGTGCCAAAAAAATGCAGTGGGGCTTAATTACGGGGCAAAAAAGGCGCCTTAGATGTGAAATTTATCCACGGGGCAAAAAAGGCACTTTAGATGTGAAATTTATCCACGGGACAAAAAAGGCATCTTAAAAGAACTTATTGTATTGCTTATTGACAGGGCAAAAAAGGCTTCGTAGATGTGAAATTTATCCACGAGGCAAAAAAGACGCCTTAGATGTGAAATTTATCCACTGCTTATTTACGAGGCAAAAAAGGCACCGCAGATGTGAAATTTATCCACGGGGCAAAAAAGGCGCCTTAGATGTTAAATTTATCCACGGGGCAAAAAAGGCGCCTTAGATGTGAAATTTATCCACGGGACAAAAAAGGCACCTTAAAAGAACTTATTGTATTGCTTATTTACGGGGCAAAAAAGGCGCCGTAGATATGAAATTTATCCACGGGGCAAAAAAGACGCCTTAGATGTGAAATTTATCCACGAGGAACATTTATCCCATTAAAGGTGTACAAATATGCCGTAAATATATCTAAATATTCACGGGCTTTTTAATACGCCGTAAAAATATTTTTCTATGACGATTCTATAAAATCCTCGTGAAAGCATGTCCTATAACGTAACAATTACGAGGATTCTTATAAAAACTCCGTAAATAGTGGTAATCACGAGACAAAATAAAGAAGCCCCGTAAATACTATGTCGTAAAAGCCTTCTTTTCTTGTAGTGGTAGTACAGGACATTTATTTACTATCCCTTATAGTACAGGGATATTAATTACGGGATTCATTCAGCCTAGGTCCTTTTAATACAGGACACTTATTATCATCCCTTATATCCCTTTAGTAAGGGAATTAGATTTTTGTCAAGCGTCAGGAATGCCAAGTCCTACTTAAGCATACTTGATGATTACTTTCTTGCCCTTTTTAATAAGGGAAGTGGATTTGCTCGAGCGTTGTGAGCTCTCCATTTAATAAGGGAGTAGTTAACCCGTCGTCTCTTTACCGAGGGAAGAAGATGAAGTTGACCCTTCGATCCTTTATGGGGAATAATGTGCAATCTAAAGGAGGATGACCCATTTAATACGAGAAGTAGTCGTCTCGTCTTTCTAGTAAATGAAAGAAACTTTAATTATCTCACCTTTCTGTGTAGAAGGAGTGGTCGGCTTCTTGTCCCTTTAATGAGGGAAGAATGTGTTGGTGGCCTCTCGTCCTGGACGACTAGTGCCCCCAAGGGGTCGCTAAAGGAGAGAGACTAGAAACCCGACTAGCTCGATGTACCAAGGTTGGTACATCAATCTTCTAGACCTTGTCATCATATGTAGATCGATGATTGATATTGTGTGATCCACTATTCTGCCTCCGATGGTGGGATCTTGGGTGATGACCCATTTTATAGACGTTTATACAGCGGATGGGGTGCCTGGTGCTGCAACAATTTATAGTTGTCTAAAAATATTAAATTGTGTTAGAAATGATTACTGAAAATTAACTTGCCATGGATTATCAATCCAAAATTCTGCATAATCTGAAGTCGATAGACAATTCCTGCAAAGGAAGAGAGGTGACGACTGTCATCTGGTAGGTGGAGGCTTGGTGTCCAGCGATTGGCGTAATAGGGGCGTGGTACCCAACGTTTGACAGATGATGGTCTGGTGTCCAGTACCTCGTTGGGTCCAATGATCGCCCTTCACTTAGGAACCTCTTTGGAAATACAGACCTCATGGGATCTGGAGGGACATTAGACCTCCTTGGACCTGAAGGCCTCGATACATCTTGGGTGTAGAAGGCCACCCTGATTACACGAACGGTCGGAGTAATGAGACTCCATTGCTAGAGACATTCTCAGTGGTAGAGGCTTTACTAGTAGGTAGAAACCCCCTTGTTGGTAGTGATCCTCTTGAAGGGTGGAGACCAACTCAATTATGTAGGCGCAGAAGGACCAGGCCTTAGTCTTCAACGATCAGGCCTTGGTAGTTGGTTGCTACCAGATATGAGATAGAGTTTAGTCTTAGACGACCAAACCTCAGTAGTGAGGTGACCAAGCATCGCTAGATGGAAAACACCACACTGGACTGCCTGGGTCGACGTGCCAAAATTTGATTATTGTCATCGTACACTGGATGGCATCACGCAACCCACCGTTTTGCGCCAATATGATAGATGAGTAATCATGATGTAGAGACCCGTCCTTATATAAGAACATGGAAACTCGTTGTCAACTGATGACTTTGGGATGGTTTCCATGATTAGAAACTTTCGTCTTGCCGTCCGAGCCAAGTCGCGTCAGGATTATTATTTGTTCAGAGAACTAATCGTTCCCACAGACGGCGCCAGCTGTTAATGCGAAAATCCTCACGACTCTGAACGATGGCGTTTACCTGCAAAATAAAGGGACGTCATCTCGAATGGCGCCGTTGGGGTGTCAGCCGAGGACCCTCCGACGATCAAATTAGTACTTGTAATCGTATCACATAATAATTATGTAATATTCTATTTAGGTGTTTCTTCTCGTACCTTCTTTAATGGCTCGGTGCCCCATTTATGGCTGTCGATTGGAATCAAATTGGTCCTACAGGAGATCCGCTTGTGCGAGATTAGCGGAGATTGTTTGTTGCCAGATTTGTCGGGAATATGATTTACTCCTTTGACTTTCTCAAATTGTGCTCAAGTTATTCTTACCCTGTTGAACCACGTCGTCATTCATTATCCTGGATAAGAAATGTCATCATTCTTATTTGATGAAAATCTTTATTTCTGATAACGAAATATGTCGAAGAGGTCTGGCGGCTGGTCAAGGTAGGTTAGGTTTATTTTTCCCTATCAGAAAGTAATATCTATGAACAG